ACTACTGCACCTTCTCAACACAAAGGAGGCCGGAGGAGGAAGAAACCAAGGTTAGATCGCCGCCACTGACCTCCTCCAGGGAGGTTCGCAGCGGTCGCCGGAACCCGACCACCGACGCCTCTCGTCGTCACTCACCCGCCATGGCACTCGCGAAGAGAGACGTCCACTTCGGAGGGAGAGAGTCGAGGGAACACCATAGCCGAGCCGCCAAGCCCCGACCGAGCCGTATTCTGGCCGGAATCGCAAGAGACTGAGCCGTCGATGGGGAGGCACTCCAAAGAAGATGGTGTAGCTAGGGCAAAATGGAAAATATTTGGCGGTTTTTTGAAGAATGGAAGAGAGAGAGAGAGAGAGAGACGGTCCTTTCGAAGAGAAATTTGAGTTTAATTTAGGACTCTCATTTTCGTAAAAGAAACGAAAAACAAATCGAATTGTACCGAATTTTTCACAAGTAAGGAGTTGTCGATATCGACTACAATACAGTTTGGCGTCCGTATTCATTTTACAGTGGTTCTATTTTACACAATCGAATTGGTTTTTTAATATTTGTTTTATACTTTGATGCCTTCAATTTTAGCGAGGATTGATTCTCAATTTCTTACTTATACTCATATAAGGAAACTAATAATCATCTTTGGCTTAAGTTTTCAATTTTAGATTTTCGTCTTTTGCTCATCTCATCATCTTGGTCACCCAACTTTTTTTGGCTAGTTTGCCCACCTCTTCCTTCTAGGGATGGGCACGGTCCGGGACGGTCCGGGATTTGACCTGTCCCGGTTTTTTGAACCGGTCCGGGACGACACCTCGTCCCAAACGGATCGGTATCTATCGGGACCGGGACAAAATGGAAAAAAAAATGTTCAGATTGGTATCAATCGGGACCGGGACAAAACGGGAAAAAAATGTTCAAACTTCAAACTTCAAACTATTCGCTATTTCACTTAGAAAAAAAAAAACTTTGATTCCATTCAAAGTTGCAATCAAGACAAGCATTGAGCATTCAAAGCTACAACCAAGCATTATGTAGTCTGTCCTTGTGCGTTGTGCCCGTAAATATAAATATTAATGACTTAATGTGTATGTTAATGTTCACTACTTTATTATTTAATGTTTTCATTTTTTGGGACAATTGTCTTAACATACGTAAGTGATTGGGCTTTTCTTTCATTAATAAAAAAAAAAGTTTGTTAAGATTTTTGTACAAAAAAAAAGTCTGTGAAGATTTCATTAATAAATATAAATTAATGTATAATATATATAATATTATTGTACAAAAAAAATAAAACGGGACAAACGGGACAGTTCGGGAAAAAAGTATTAAAAACCGATACCGACATTGTTTCAACCAGTTCAGGACCGGGACCGGGACGAAAATTTTAAAAACCGATTGGAACCCTATTTTTTTGGAACGGGACCATTTCGGTCCGGTTCGGGACCGGGAAATCAGGTTTTTTTGCCCACCCCTACTTCCTTCATTTTTATTTTTTTTTACCATTTTCTTGTGGGAATTAGGTGTTAGTCAATTATGTAATTTGGCACTCCATTCTTGCTCGGTTAAAGATGTTTCCGACTTATCTCTCCTAGTTGTCTCGTTTTTGTTATCGTGTTCCATTCCTAATATGACTCGCATTTTGTAGTGGACATTGATTTAGTGTGGTAACCTCAGATCGAAACATAAATAGCTTGATGGTTGTTTAGTTATGATTAGTCTACTCGGAATAAAATGTTCAACTTGGTTGTTTTTTGTCGGCTTTGTGCATGGGATCTATGTCCCCAAGATAGTAATGTAGCTTGGTTTGAATTCCTAGTTGATCTTGCATTCTCGTCTTCTTTGTGCCATATCAGATTGATCGTCGCCAATGGTCTTCAACCTCGTGCGTGGTGCAAAAAGATTTGGGGTTTAGATCATTCTTTAGGAGCATATTCATGTCGTGGCCCTTATAAACTAGTATGGAAATCTCTCCATCGAGCATATACCTAGCTGCTTTGTTGAAATTCAATTCTTGAGTTCACTAAGGCTAATGATGAGAGGTGCAACAAATAGTTGGGTCGGTATCCTCTCGAATGGTCCTTTAATTTGGCTAGGGTTCCTGCCGATTAAGGTTGATTCTCCTTTAACCTCGTTTGACTGGGGCATCCTCGGTTAGCTCACTCTGCTTTATATTTTTATTTTTTATCATCGTACTTTCTGATTCTAAATTGATTTTATAGCATCTTATTAAATAGCAGCTATGGCCCCCGAGCTCGGGCCATGGTCATGAAAACTTTGACTAGTGAGACAATGCACATCTGTTGGTTCGATCTTGCCTTTTGTTTGGGTAGTAAATTATGTTAAGTTATTCCTCAATTTGTTTACTTTGTGGCCTCGGTTCTTGTTTCGAGTTTGCCTCTTTTTTTATGGAGTTGAGCTTTAGTGAGCCTATTTGGCTAAGGTTTTCGTGATTGATGTCAACAATGTAATAAATGATCTTATCTGCTCGAGTCGAGTTGGTTCTAGGTCTGGATTGGGGGCTTCTAAGCTCGGCCTACACCGAAAAATCATCAAGCTGGCCTTTCGTCTTCATGTATGATGTCGATCAGGATAGCTATGTTTTTTATATCACTAGAAAGATGCATGTGCGTTGCAAGTGTTACTAATATTTTTTATGGTTTAAAAGTTATTTTTATTAAATTTATATTTAAATATTAGAAATTTTCCATTAACTTAATAATATATATATATATAATAAATTATATAATTTTAACTGGAACTTAAATGTAACATATAACGACATTAACTGAAAGCTTTGATTAAATAATAAATGAATTTATTTATTTTACTCTGTTATTATTTAAGAATATCGACCAATGCATGTATAACAAAATATAAAAATTTATTTAAATAAAAATCATAAACAATAACAATATTGAAAATACTTTTATATATAACAAAACATGGACAACTTATGTTTTCTCGAACAATATTACATATGCACTAATCTTTTTTATATGGAGATTCAAAATTTTACGAAACAATAAAATAGAGTTAAATGAATTATAAATTAATGACTCTTTAATGTAAAATGCTCGTGTTAATATTGCATGAACTAAATATGCATATAAAATTTTACTAAACAATAAAATAGAGTTAATTTTAAATATTATTTCAAATACCATTTGATTCAAGGGATAAATTCTACTAGCGAAGGAAGTTATCTCGATGTTAAAATCCAAAGGGTGGACTTGCTTTGAGGAGAGACGTGTGGATCCCTATGGCGAGACAAACTAAGTTGGTGATAACCACATACCCGGGAATCGATTCCCACTACATCGTCGCTTTACGAAGAAAATAAAGAGGTAATTTTCATCAAAATTCGTACTTTTACGTGATTTTAAAAGATGTCGATCGTTACAATCGTTATGTGAGCAAAGGGGTTTAATATTTATTCGATAAATGCTCGTTTATTTTGTTTTATTTTTACTGCGTTTCATCCCGTACGGTATAGAGAACCCAACATAGCAGCCCAGTGGATGATACTCGTACACATCGGAAGGTCAATGAGCGACATACTCCCAATCTTCGGGCTCTGCACCGATCGAGAAAAAGGTGGACCCATTCATTATTTACCCAGGTAACGTCATTGGGCTTGCGAACTGAGAAAACTCGAGCTTGAAGGTTAGGTCAGGAAGGAGATTCAACCTCAATCTCCTCATCAGTCTCGTCAGCTAGCTGGAGAGGTCGATGAGTGGATGGCTCGGGTTGAGAGATGGAAGGACCATCGTGGGAGGCAGAATGTGCTAGTTGAGAAGGCCCAAGATGCGAAGGATTAGAAGGTGGAGAAGGTTATATGATAGATATGAGGGTTGGAGCATGAAGGACCTCCACAGAAGGGGAAGAAAAAGTAGAAGAAGAGGTCGAATAAGTAGTTGGAGTGCTCATGTTCTAGCCGATCGAGGCGACAACGGAATCACTGGTGGCGCGTGAATGTAAACATGAAAAAAAAAAAATTAGGTCTTGGATGAAGGAGATTTGATGAGGAGGATTATGCGATCTGGGGTTTTGCGAGGAGGAATTAAAAGGAAAATTACGCATGCAAAATTAATAAATGCAAGAATACTGGACTTACTCATCGACATGCTGAATTTTGGTGTTGATCGGAGATGAAAGTGACAAATTGTTGTGGTTCACCGACGGGTGAAGCTTGTTATTGCTTGAAAGATAGTATATAGCAAAATAGTGAAAAATTCAAAAAATTCCGCAAAGGGGAGTATTTTTAGGTAAGAAAGGAAGAATCTCAAAGGTCGATCTACCTTGGTTGTTGAATCTTGGTCAAAGTGAAAGAGTGAGATTAAGGGAGGCTAGTTGAAAGGACATGTCGACCTTGATCGTTGGATGGTGGTTGAAATCGATGGCCAGGATCAGAAAGGCAAGTTGAAAAGATAATATAACTACGACCGTTGGATTAAAGAGAAAATAAAGGTCATCATCATTGCAACATTTAATGGGTACACTGCACGTGGACGACATGGACTGCGAGGTAGTTACATCGATATGATGTTTGGACTAATGGATCTAACAAGTGGAAGAGATTTAATTTCAAAATTTGAATTCAAGATCAGATGGAGGGCAATAATATTACTGCCGAGGATAAGTAAAACTAGGCAGTGTGGTCGATTTGATCGAGGTAGAAGCTCAGCAAGCAGGACAAAACAATCAAATTTACTTTTGGATTGAGCTATTCTAACTCGACCAGAGTGGTGGGACTAGATGATATGAGATACCATACCGGATCGGCGAGACCTGAAAAACTAGCCAACCGGGCTGCAGGAAGAGTTTGTTGCTCCAACGGAGCTACAAGTCGAACATAGAGTCTTCAAGTCGATGAGGACACTGCAAGAAGAGGTGTCACCAACGGGTCGAGCGAGAGCCTTTGAATGGCCTAATAGAAACTCGACGTGTAGGTATGTTGGTCGACGGATCGACCTAGGAGACAGTGCGATCCTAGAGAAGGGATACTATACTGGGTCGAGTAGCTTCGAGAAACCAACCAACCGGGATGGGTAAATCGGTTGGTGGAATAGAGCTACAGGTCGAACAATATCCTCAGGTTGACGAGGATGTTACAGAAAAGGTTGTCGCGAATGGGTCGAGCTAGGGTCCTTGGATGTCCTGATAGAAACTCGACCTGGAGGTATGCTGGTCGAACGATCGACCCAGGAGATAGTGTACACGAGCCTAGCCAAGAAGACGATCGCCTCACTAGAGGTCGAGCCGGCTGTATAGTTAGACCGTCTAATACAGAAGACCAAATGATAAGAAGGAGTATTATTAAGATAAGAACCACATGTGAATAGGGCCATCTGGCCTAATAGAATTAGGCAGTTCGATCAGTCTGGGCAGCTCATCCGGGTAATCTTGGGCAACAAGGTAACACCCCTATATAAAGGGTTGAGGTATGTCCATTTGCACTCTACATTTTCTACACACTCTATACTTACAGAGCTTTATATCTATTGTTCATCATCTTCATCACTATGAACTGACTTGATCGTCGGAGTGATAATATCGGGAACCCCTCCCGGCCTGTTTTGCAAATCTACGAGCAGGTCAGAACCCAGATACAAGTCGTGCGAATCGGACAAAAATCTTTTACACACCTAATAATAATTAACAAAGCTTTGTAATAATACTTAAATTACTGTTATTTTTTATACGAATTGAAAAATATCTAGCTGTAATAATAATAATAATAATAATAATAATAATAATAATAATAATAATATAATAATAATAATAATAATAATAATAATAATAATAATAATAATATGAAAACTAATATAATAATAATAATAATAATAATGATAATGATAAACAAAGCTTTGTGATAACATTTAAATTCTTGTCATTTATCATAAAATTGAAAATTATAAATAGCAATAAATTATATAATTATATGAAAACTAAAAATTGCAGTTGGTTGTGCGTTGCACTCTCAAAGATATCTAGAGTCTCGTTTGGTAGGACAAGTTTTTTTAAAAAGCCCAAGTTTATCTCATAAGTTACTTTAGTTAGCTTTTCAAATAAGCTAGTTGAATTTTTAATTTCAGCTAGCTTATCAGCTAATTTATCAAACACTTTTATCATATAAGCTAGTTTTTCAGCTATAAGTCATAAACTATAAGCTCAAAAATTACATATAAGCTATAAGCTAGTTTATCAGCTATCAACTATCTTATCAGTTAACATAGCCCTAGTTGTAGAGCTGTTTTTTAAGGATTGATTTTTAGTTCAAATTTGTATTGAGAAAATTAAGTTGAGGAAGCATAAGAGAAATAAATAATTTTTTTAATTGATAAAAAATCCCCTCTTAATATAATTTGAAAACGTGCTGAGCCTAAATGGCTGTCTGGCACGCTTCGGAAACTTATTTGGCAACATTACATGCTTCGGCTTTTGGTTCGGATACATTCCCTAATTGTTTCAAATAAAATACTTAATAAATAGGATTAGGATTCTTATATGTTGTGTAAATCCTCCAACTCCAAATTCTTATCTTACAAAGCTTACTTACATCTTAGGATTCTTATATTATATGTCGTCTAAACCAAAATAAAAAATTTAACTTTATATATTATTTTATTTATATAACTAATGTAAAAAATTAACTTTTTTATATAGTTTAAATTAAAAAAAAATATTATAATTTTACAAAAAATATATAGCCACTTGCATATTATATCTTTTCAATCCAACCATAAATATATTATTTAAATATTTTTAGAATATCTATAAAAATACATTGAAATAGTTATAGAATATTACATGATCTTTCTGATATATTTTAAAGAATTGAAATAGTTATACAACATGTACTTTTTCTATTATTTTATGTTTTATATTTTTTTTTTCAAACAACGTGTAGTACACGGGTGTCGTACTAGTATACATGTATTAGTGAATTTTCATCTACTTCTAATCCCATCATCCTACATTTCAAGGTCGCTGAAATCTGACGTAGCTCCCAACAACCAATCAGAAAGAGCTGAACACGCAACACTGATACCGTCTAAAACCCCCAAAATAAACCTTACAAATTGTTGTGCGACACATCAGAGGAATTCGACTGGGAAATCTCTGTTGATCGTGAGCTGTGCAACCATGGCGAGATCATATCAAAATTTACTGCTGTTATCCTTATACGCTGTAGTAATCGTCTCTTCTTTGGCGCCTCTATCACGCGGTGCTAAGAAACCTGTTGGTGTGGCGAGGAAAGAAGATATTCCATACATCAAATGCCAAGTCTGTGAGAAGTTGGCCTCCCAATTGAACCTCCAAGTTCAAGCTAAACAAGCTGAGATTTCGCCTAGAAAGGTATTAATCAGCTATCCTTGAATTACTGTATTTAAATTTAGTGTCCCTTGTTATTTGTTCTTTTGAGTAAATTTGGGCCAAGCGGTCACATTGTGTTGTGCAAATTATTAACATTATGTGCCTCATTCATGGTGGCTTTTCGAAGTTTTTGAATTATTGTGTTTTAAGCTCTATGATATACGTTTGCATTATCTTATTGATGTACTTCCGCCTTTTGTTTCCAGCGATTGTTTCTGTTTTGTTGGTTTATTTGTTGTGGCTTATGTATGTGTATGGATATTGGCTGCAGATATCGGAGTATCAAATAATAGAAATTGCGGAGAATGTTTGTAATCTGAAGAAACAAGAAGCTGATTGGATCCTCAAAATCGATATCTTGGAGGAAGGTGATAAATTAAAGGTAAGATGGATGGGGCAAAAATCAGAGATATTTTACTTTGTGTTGCTATTTGTCAACTCGAACTAGGCTGCTTACTTTATAAATATGTTGTACACTCAGCTTGTTGAGCAAGATTCGGAAGGGCAGTGTAATTCAGAGTGCAAAACAATAGAGCGAGCATGTCAAGAGGTGAGATCAGCACAAAAAGTACTTCTGTCTACTGCTATAGATTAATATTGTACATAAGAACTTATTGTTAAAGACATTGAAGGAATACGGGTTTATTTATGAAATTACGGTGTCTGCTGTTGAAGTTCTTGGTTTTCAGAAATGCCATGTTTTGTGGTTTCGTGTTATACAATCTTTGTCGAATTTCTGGTGCATCATCTTGGAGGAACGATTGAAAACTAATGGTACGAGATTTAGCGTGCCCTATGCTGTCTGGCTTGATTTAAAATGGGGATAAATAAAAACAAAAAATATTTTGCTACTTATTATTATTATTTTTTTAATCCATTGTGACACCTGAACTAGCTTTTTCTAATTCAGAGTCCAGAATCCCTCATCTGAACTCCTAGGTTTTGAAATTTGCAGGTTTTGGGCTATTCTGATACTGATGTTGCAGAATTCTTGTATAAAAAGAAGCCCCAGCTTGACTCTTTGGTGAATTATATCTGTAAGGACCTCACTAAAGCATGCAGTTCAGAGCCACCACCAGTTCCTAAGGTACAACCGCGCAGCCTCTAACTGGCTGACTATTTCTATATTATTTTATTTGTGTCAGTAAATTATTTGTAACATAGTTTTGGTTCATATTCGATAGTTTTATTTCTCCAGTGAAAACACTATGTTTCTTTTTCTAATTTTATTTAAACATGTTATAACAATTTTTCAAGACTATTCATGCTTGTGAGACTGGTCATGATGACTGCGAAATTCCCAATTTTATTGCCTTTCTCACATCTTCCATAATGAAGACATGGATGCAACAATCAGATAGTGGCTTCATAACCTGCATAGTGGAACTTGTTCATCTTTTCTCATTTCTATTAGTTCTACCTTGCTTCATATAATGCACGGTTACCAGATCCTGCATTTGTCTAAGCCCATTAGGATGGCTTTTAAGCATATGAGTTATGAAACACTAATGTTTTTCTTCAATGTATATTCTTAAACTTTGAATACTAATGTTGTGTCTCATATATCTGTAACTTCAAGACTTTTATTCCTTTCTTTTAAATTTAATACTGAATGGGTGTACAAATTTTAATTGTAGTAATTGACATATTATGTTAGGAAATTGGAATTTTAACCTTGTGAAGTGTGATAAAATAAGAACGTCATTCTCTTGAAAAAGCAAAGTTGCAACAACCAAGGAACCATGTCGATTCCGGTTTTGCGAACTGCATAGTCACGGTTCTAGTTAAAGCTCCATATTTTGAAGAATTAGACTTGTTGGCTCTGAACGATAACCTCTACCACGGATTTCGATTTTGTGGTTCTGTCTAACAGACTGCCACAAAGGCACAAACTTTAATTCCAAAATGTGCTTTGGTGATTCACTTGTCTTAGATATAGGTGGAGAAAATAAATCACCAAAATTTTCACACCCTTTCAGGATAGGACACCTGGAGAAGCATTTGTTGCCAAATCTGCTAAAGAGGCAGAAATGGAAAAGTTGATGAAATCAATGGAGGTAATTATTTACTATGCAACACCCAAATTTGCAGTTAATGGATATATCATACTCCAGTATTCTGTGTGTTACTTGTTGAACTTTCTTTATTAGGGTATGCCTGGAGCACCTGGTATGAAAATGTACTCGAGGGAAGATTTGATGAACCAAAAATTCGGTGATGAAGATGCAGATGACGAGGATGATGACAATGATGATGACGTTCCCTCCAAATTAGTAAGTGCTAACTATGGCTGCTCCAAAATATAATTAAACCTTCGGAAATTATTGGCTTTTCATCAAGTTCAATACTAAAACTCCTGTGCAGGGGAAAGTTTTAAGAGAAAAAAACAGTAAAAAGTATGACTGGAAGGAGCAGGTGCGAAGAGGGGTCGTTGATGCCGGTGAGAAATTGAAAGGTCATGCAATTCGGGTTTCAAATAGGATAAGACAGTGGTGGAGAAGAAGCCAGAAAACCAAGAGTTCCAAGTCTGGTCAGACAGAGCTATAAGACACCAATTGACCACATCACGATCGACACTTAACATCTTTTTCTCGTTTATTCCAGTTTTTTTACCTATGCGGTTTTGGGTTATTGTAGCCTTACAAATTGATATATCTGAGTACAATCTTGAGAGCAACATTTATCCATCAAATTGTGTAACTTCTGTTGTTTTGGTTGGGTTGTAGCCTTACAAATTATATCTGAGTGCAATCTTGAGAGCAACATCCATCCATCATATATTTTTAATCTTTTGGTACAAAATCTTCTGGTATTTTGGCTTTGTATTTTAGCTTTAGCACACTCACACGGGGCACCTCATAAATTTGCTTTCCTGACCAATGGCAAAAGCATGTATGAAATCTTAAATATTTCTAATATATTGTTTGTTATTCTTTTACAGTCTCGCTATTCGAAATTTAACTTAACTTTAATTTAGTTTCACTATCCTCAATATTATCAATATAACTAAATATTATCAAGCACATATCACAATAATTTTCATTCACTATTCATCAACTCACATAATTATAACTTCAATTCACTATTCATTCACTCACATAATTATAACTACATGTTACTTTCAGAGTTTTAGTTGTTTCTTTTTTACTTTTACATCAAATCAACTTTTCACTCACTATTCATCCACTCACATAATCATAACTTTCATTCACTATTCATTCACTCACATAATTATAACTACTCTTCTACTTTTACATCAAATCAACTTTTCACTCACTATTCATCCACTCACATAGTCATAAATTTCATTCATTATTCATTCACTCACATAATTATAACTACATGTTACTTCCAGTAGCTTCTCTTCTACTTTTTACATCAAATCAACTTTAATAACTTTATTTTAAGTATTATTATTACAAACATAAAATTTCACTAACAACTAATCATATCACAATTTTCAAAATTAAATCCGATTGACCAAAATACTAATATATCTCAGGCGATTTCACGATTTCATCATGTTGAGGTATAGTAAAGTCAAAATACTATACAGAAGAATAAGTCAATCAGATTAGAAATCTATAGTACTTGGCAAGGGAACAAAATTAAATTTCATTGATAGCAAACATTCAAAGAATTCAGATTTAATCAACCAAAATTTGAGAAACATTAATCCAAACAAATATAATTGAGTGCTAAGATACATCATCAAGTGAAAAGCATTGGAGCAACTTTGTTGCTTGCCGATTATACCAAAATGTCACATGCAGTGTAGATTGATCCTGTTTGGGATACTCACTTAACATAACAAACACCATAACCGAGGCATAAACAAAAATCAGCGCATTCTGTAATGCTGAGTTCTCGAGGCCCTGCAATGTTTCCCATTTAGAGAATACTTCAAAGTAATATCCACATCACGATGGTTCTTCTTATTATATGATACAGTCATGGTCCCTGTCAATGCTTCCCCTTCGCAGATGGAAAGCACATCTTCAAGGTAAAGAACCGTTTGTTTCCAGTGAGTTGCACGCGATTTTGGTCCTGCATAAACCAAGATATAATTTAACAGTCACCAATGAATGCAAACTTTAATGTCTATGTAACTGGGAGCAGGTCTAGCAATGTCTATGAACAACGGCAATTAAATAAATATCCAACTATATTTTGTTTTTATCTATGAGGTTCNTTTATAGTAACAAAAAGCGCCAAAATTCAATACTACTCAATATCATATTGCTAGAAAAAACACCAAAATTCATTTCCATTTTCTTTCTTTAACCAATAACTTCACCTCATGTCTTAAAATATACAATTAAATCACAAATAAATGCTACAAGTTTTCTAACCAATTAGTTTGTTCATCTACTTCACATAATTTTAACTACTTATATCATATTGAAATTTATTACTTTCATATCAAATTAACTTCCGACAATAGTTCTATTTTCACTTCAATAAAGCTGTACCAAATAATCTCTGACAAAGCCAAAATTTTCAGAGTGAAATCTACCCTACTTAGAAATAAAAAAGGGAACAAACTATGACAGATTTGAAATTTTGACCATCAATCAACTAGATGACTTCAGGAATTATGTGGCCAAATTGTCATTCTACTGTCTAAAATCATACAGTAAATTGCTTTTCAAAATAACTTAGCTAATGATGGGGGCTGCTATGATCCAAGAACCATGGTAGGAATGTCACCAACACTAAAGGGGTAAAGATAGATTCAAAAGAACACGTCATACCAGTTGAGAAACCCAGCAATTTATGGCACTTCGTAAAAGATACATCAAAATAAGCAACAAGGGCATGAATGTAATCGTCACATTTCGCCACAAGCTTAAAAGGTGCAGTGAAGGAAGCATCAACTGCTTCCATCTTGGAGATGTCCATTGTCTGTAAATTTTCAAAAGGACATAATATTGAAAGATGGTACAAATACACAGCTTTATGTAATGTTTTATCCCATGGAATGGACAACTAAGATTGGATAAAAAAAAAAAAAAAAATCTGACCTTGAGTAATTGGCAATTGGTGACTATCTGCTTTTCGTCTACAATGTCAACAAGAGGTTCCATTATGGCTTTCTTCCCAATACAGCTCATGTCAAACCCGTATACATTATTCCAAACTGAAAGTATAAAAATGTCAGAGAGTGCAGAGTTGATCAAGCAGCATACGAGCATAAACACGTGATTGTATTATATTATTACAATCAACAATCCATGAGACAGGCGTTAAGCTCACATTCAATCTTGTCTTCCTTGTATTCAGCGTCTTCAATGGCTGTCAAATAAAGAGAGGCTTTATCCGGCAATATGAGACCATCTTGGACCTGAAAATAAAAAAGAAAAACAGAACAAATATGATATTTAAGTTAAACACAACTATGCTTTTTTTTCTTTACAAAAGCAAAGGAGGTTAAAACTCACTAGCCACTTGTTACGAGCGTAGAGAACAGTGTCTAACATGTTCTCATAGATTAGGAAATATCCCATCCATTCAGAAATAATGACATCAACTTGAGTAACTGGAAGTTCAATCTCTTCAATCTTTCCTTTCAGTACTGTTATAACTGAGATATCAATTTATTTTGGAGGGGGAGGGGTGTGTTAGTTGTAAGATCAATCGGAAGGAAAACTTAGGATATCAAATTTGCCTTGTAATTTGAAAATTTCAGGCCAGAAAAGAACTACCATTGGAGAATCCATTTTGACTGACAATTTCCTGAGCTGTATCAGCCATGCTGGAGCATTCCACCTGCAAGTGTAATGAACTGTCAGATATCAAATATCTGATCTATGGTCCTATTATGTGTCGTTTGATAAGGTTCACTAACTGATTTTGAACATGCAGACCACTACTGATGAGAAAAAACTGTATCCTGAAAGACACTGCTTGTTCAGCTTTCAACTTTTATGCCTTATTCCTAATCAGTAATCAGCGAAGTAGGATGCCGAATTGAATAAAGAAGTGAAACGTTTGTACTAGAACATGTTACTATATTTCAAGAAGTAATGTTTAAGTTGGAGCAGGATGACGTTATGAAGTTCTTTTTGTCAAACATGTGAGTGAAGTTATGACAACCAATGACTACACCCTCCTTCCTCCCTGGAGGAATGTAGATGAAAAAAAAAAGTGGATTACTTTGCACAAAGCAGTAAACAACAATGACACCTAGATAAACCAAAAAATAGGANCATAAAAGAAAAAAAAAAAAAAGAAAAAGAGGAAATAATAAAATAACTGGCTCCTTACCGCGTAGACATGCTTAGCCCCAACTTTTGCACAAAAAAGTGAGAGGATACCCGTTCCAGCACCCACATCAAGAACTATTTTATCCTTGATAAGAAAGGAGTTCTTATAAATGACATTTTGGTATGTCTTAGTTCTGACTACATCCTTTAGCATTTCCTGTACCACAAAAGTCATACGAATTATATTTGGAAACTCATACGGACATTTCAAATAGAAAGAAGCTTTTCCAATCCAAATGCTATGTTTGTCACAGAATAAAAAAATCCAGAAGCTTTACTTCAAAACTCTGACACTTACTTCATGGATACCTGCAAGAGAATGAAAAAACAATTATTTAGTTTAGATACCAAAGCAAAATGGCACCCAATGACATAAAAGAGAAGAGAAACAGTTAGGCTGGAGGAGGAAGGCAAAATCTTTTCCCTTTGATTAATATCATCTCCATTTCTGGGAAAAAACTTAACTTTATATTTTTCAAGTAAGAAATGAGAAGAATAACATTCAACTGCATGAAACCTTTTAAGACATCTTAAAGGTAAGCTGAAAACCTAAAAATAAGATTGAATGGAACATTCAAAGAGTGAGAGCGGCATCATGAACATAAAACAGAATGTGCATATATCTAGATATCTATATCTAGTTAATATTATTTGGTGTAATCTTGAACATGAGAATCTCTCTCTATTCTAGAAGAAAACATGTAAATGATTTGCAAACAGTAACATGACATAGTGAAAAAAAAAGACAAATGAAAGATGTCTACAACCTTNAAAATACCCAAAATGTACACTTATCTTTTTCTTTGGCATATGAAATGGAAACACTTCCACCGAATACACAACACCCACACGAGTTCATTATGCCAAATTCATTCAATCACCAACAGTGTTAGGCAATATGAAGAAACGAACTCCACAACCAACCCAAAAAAAGCTACTGGCCCAAATATATGAACAAATGGATTTCTGCAGCATACATTATACGCATTTTATTTGCATATGGACCCGTAATCAAAACCCCCGGACTATGACACCTCACAGCCATAACCTCATTCATTAACTCACAGTAAAACGTCAAAAAAGGAGCACAAGACACATCATTTTCAATGTTTGAAGAAAAGAATTACCGAAATGTGAATAAGAATCGAAGTAATAATCTGCGCTCGTCTTATCATTCGAAGCAATCAACGAATCCTCGGGCTCGCCCATGGCGGAATCCTCCTCGAGATTCGAGCTCCCGGTGGCAGCTTCTTCTATGGTTTCCGCTTCATCGTCGTCATACACGAACCTGATCTTCGAGGGTTGGCTGGCTGTGAAGTTCAGGTTTTGGCCGCCATGAGCATCAATGTTCTGAGCTTCCATGGTTAAATTCAGAAACTTGTTTGGAGGGGCTTTGAACTATTTTGGGGTTTTGGGGTTTTAAATGGGGAGGTGAGGAGCTTGGTGGCCTGGACTTTGAATTAGGGTTTTATGTCCAAATGTAAAATGTTCCACTCAACTTGCAAAATATCAATGGGCCATTCACAAATCACAATCACATTTTAATTCATTTTTGAGAAAATTAACATGCATCCTTGTTAAATACCAATACGTACCCCATGTAATGCGCGGGACAAAGATATTAAATGAGTTATTTTTCTGTTCGCTTAAGTTTAAAATGCAATAAGATTATCATCTATTTTACACCTTTTTTAATCAACGTTAAGTCTAAAAAACAATAGAGTTATAATTTATTGTTCACCTCTTTTAATCAGCATTTGTTTTTTTAACCAGAACATTAAATGTTGTTTTTTTAGTCAGAACATAGTAAAATAATTAATATATTATCACACTAACACATTTATACTAATATAAATCTGATTTTAATATATATATATATATATATATATATATGTTCCTTGATATAAGAAAAAATATTATTTTTACTTTGTTCACCGTATAATACTTAATTATTATTTTAATAGTTTTATTTATTCTTGTTTACCATATAATATTTATTTATTATTTTATTACAAACTTTGTTGTCATATAATGTCATTTTTATTTATAAAAGTTATGAAAGTTGTACGTCTTCTCTTTCTTTTATTTTATATATATAATAAAAAATATTTAATGCACGTTAGTATTATTTATTATGTAATCAATTTAAAATATGTAAATAAATTTACAATTAAATAGTGTATAAATATTTTACAAAATATAATTATATGTTTTTTTCGAATTTAATTTTGTAGAGTAATTAAACAACTTTGATTTAGGAAATGCCAAAAACTCAATCCCTTCTATAATCAAAATATTTATAATTTGCATTATAAGGATTTATAGTTTATTTAGCATACTCTGCAATGAAAAAATATTTTACAATAATTTCATTATAGAAAAAAAATCAAAATAAAAAATGATTAAAAAAAATAGTCATGGTTGCCAATAATATACAAATCAATTTTAAAGAAAAGTTAATATATTTCAATTTTAATTTTTGATCATTAGTAAAACTATTTATATATCTGGTCATTATTTATTAAATGGTAAATTATGTTAATTTGAAGAATAATTTATTATTAAAATATATAACGAAATAAAGCGTAAGAAAAGTTATATTGACAAAGACTAATTCACCAACTTGATTTCACCTGATTCATTAGAAGAAAAATTTATACCTAACCTGTTACGATTTTTTATAAATATTTTTTTGGATAAAATGTAAATATTTGTGAAAAAAAATTAATATTATGGTTAGAACTTAAAACATGTTGTAATATTTATCTTGACCAAAGATTATCAGCATGAATCACGGAAAATCTATCATGTAATTTATTATAATGAATATCAATGAAATTATTGCAGATATTCATAAAATTATTTAAGTAACAATATTTTTGATCATATCTGATTTGATCTTATTTGAAAAAGTGTATATAGAAGCAATTAATACATATATTTAAAAAGTTTCTAATAAAAGGTATGTATTAAATGCTCTAAAAAAATTTTGCTATTATTTTTATTAAATTTTTATTCTTATTATATATATATAGATTTTTGTCTTTAATTATTCATTAATTTATTCAATGTCAACTATACCTCTCTTAGTATACATAATATTCCTTTTAATAGAAAATAAGTACAAAATTACATTAATTTTATTTTGGTAAGAATATTGTAATCAAATTAATTAAGGGAGTAAATTAGGTGTATTAATAACGAAAAATACTACAAGTACATAATAAATGTACAAAGAGATGCACATAACATTCACATTGAGTGGGGTCTACTTGATTTTTTATTTTTGGTAGTACCCACTTAATATGAATGTTATGTACACCTCTATGTAAAGTATATGTACCTATAGCATTTCTCTTAATTAATAACACTAAATTTACTTTCTTTAAACTCTCAACTAGTTATACCTCGCGTATTTGCATGAAAAACGATATGATAAAAGAGAAAGTAAATAAAAATATAGAATAAAATAAAAATCAGAACTTAATAAATGAGAAAAAAATAATTTAAAAAGTGAATCTAAATATTATTAAGCACTTCTTTATATACATCAATCGTGGTTTTCCTATCATCATAATCCTCATTACAACAAATCATTATCGTTAAACTTCTTCGACTCGTGATTTTGGGATTCGATTTTTCAAAATATTTGATATATTTTTGTAATATCTGTAAAAAAGTACTTTATTATTGTATGACTGCAATAGAAAATAGAGATATCTGTAGTCATTCTTAATTAATTGTGAAATATGTATTTATATTATAGTACTAAAAAATATAGAGTATAAAAAAAAATGTATTTTAAAACATAAAAAGGCTTTACAGAAATGAGCACATTCCAAATGGGACTTGCCAAAATAAATTGTCTAACTGAAAGTTACATATTTTTATTAAATGAGATTTAAGTTATTTTTATCATTCAAAATTAATTGAGTTTTAAATTTTATTTTAACCATGCAACGTTTACATTGGTAACATGAATAAAATAATTTATATATTTGTGGCATATATTAAGAAAATTAACATAAATAAAAAAAATTATTGGTATTCCTGATTTTTAGAAAAAAAATATGTGTCAATCATATTTTTATTCCAACAATGCAACCAAATATAGCGGTTACAGTTCTGAATGTGTCAATCAACTTTAAGTTCCAACATTAGCTGTTACACATCTTAATATTTTGCTACCAAATTTAGAATTAATTTAGTAACTGATCCAAAAAATAAATAATAAAAATATATATATTAAGGTGTAACAATTTTAACAGATTAGTGAGTAATTAATTAAAAAAAATATAACTTCTTTTGAATAAAAATAGAAATAGATTTTATTAAATGTTTTATTAAATGCATCAGCTAATAATTAATAATTATAAATATATATAGATTCCTGTCACTTTCCTTTCTTCTTCATTCTTTCTCCTAATTGCAACACACCAATTTATATTTTTTCTTCTTCTTATTCCTCCTATGTATTTAATCGCAAATTAAAACCAATTCAGAATTCTCCGAAATTCTCACCTTCACACACACCAAACTTGGCAATAGGGCTACAACCGGCCTATTTTGTTCGAGGCGGCAGTGTCCGAAGGCTTTTGGTGGCGAAAACTAACGATGAAGGCGGGGCTTGCAGCTGCGTGACCATCTGGATTTTTGTGGCTAGTCGACGCCAGTCATCTGCCCACGAGCCAGGCCCAAGCGTCGCGCCGCCGTTGAACTCCACGAGTTGTCACCGCCACTGAACCCTATCAGACTTTGACTCTGTCGTGCCGCCGCTTGCAACAAGTCCCTACTCGACGGCTCCCTCTGTGCCCCGTCCACCACCGCACTCTCGAGTGTCCACACCTTATACCTCCGCGGGCTGGCAAAGTCTCCGATTGCATGACTTAGCCCTTCATCTATGTCACAAAGATTAGACGGCGATCCGAAAACTTTGGTAACTCTGCAAGTTTTATGATGTTTAAATATAGTTCAATTAGTAATAACAATATTGTATATTTGCGGTTTATAATAGGTTTAGTTATAATGTTCACATTTTTCTCAGTTATATATGTTAGTTATATATGTTGTTCAATTGTATATGATGTTTACATGTTGTTCAATTATACTTCAACATTAAACATTTTGTTGTTCATATGTTGTACATAATTACTGTTGTTATATTATACTGCAAATGTGGTTTTCTGATGTTTTTTATATTATAGTGAATGAACACAATTGTTGTAGATTTATGAGATCTTTTCATATTAGAGTGGATGAACACCATTGTTGGAGACATTATCTATCAGTAAATTAAAACTATAAGGTTTACATGTGAAACTTATATTTGTCACGGAGTGCGCTAATTGTAGTACGAACTAAAGTAAGAATTGTAAAATGCGGAAGCAAACAACCGAAGATTAATAAACTCTTCAGGGAAGCGTCCCACTTCCCCTCAGAGCTCTTTCATTGATAGATCACTCACAAACATAGTTTGGACTTACAACGACTTGAACTCCCTTCAAATCTAGCCAACACTACTTGATCCTATCAACTAATTCTCCGGCCACGTCCCGTGGACTTATAAACCTACACTTATTCCCTAAGTGTACAATCCGTAGAATAGTTTTGATGAAATATATAAAGAACGAAACAAAAGCAGTACTAGTCCTTGAGATTGTAAGAACTCTCAGACTGAACTGAATACAATCAAATTAGAACCGAATGCACAGTGAAGCTTGAATGGCTCTTCGAATATTTCTCAATCAAAATCCACGGCCGCCATAAGCTTCTTCTAGGGTATATATATGATCTCCTTAGGGTTGGAGTCTTCTACAAGGCATAGGTCTTCATTCAAGATTTCCTTCCAAGATAATAGGATAACTATGGCAAGAAATCTTCTATTCTCTCTCATTGATCTCCTCTCCTAGCATGTCTCTTTTCTCCCTCCTCTTTATCTCTCCACGTGCAATTTCCTATCATATAGAAGCCGTAATAAGATCTTCATGGATTTATATATGGAATATAAAATAATATTACTTAAGAAAACATAATATACAAAGATCTTCCCTCTTATTCTGTGGTTCCAGGTGCTTGTTCGAACTAACGAACTAATGCCAAAATAAAATATCTTTCAATCTCCCCCTTTGGCATCTAGTTCGAAAACATCAGACTTGAAAGTCTCCTACAGCAATAAAAACAACAAGCACCCATAGATAAAAGCAATCAAGGTTAGTTCAATACATCACACGTTCTCCTTAAAGCAGTTCTCCCCCTTAGTTCCTGCAGTCATCAAAATTCAATAGAATGCTTCTAATGTCATTTCAACCATAGACAGTAAGGACAACAAAACAACTGCATTAATTCCCATAAAACAAACTTAGTAACAACCAGCAAACAACCAACAGCAAATAACAAGTTTTCCTACAATCCTCAAAACACACAGATAAACAAAAACTATTCCAAGCTAACTACTCCTCATCTCCAAGCTTTTCAGTGGCATCATCAGACTCTTCATCCTCCTTCTCA